TTGATTATCTGTCCAGGTGACCTATCCATTGATGAAAGTGGGGTATTAAAGTCGCCCACTATTACTGTAATGCTGCCTATTTCTGTTTAGGTCTGTTAATATTTGCTTGGCTGCTCCCATGTTGAGCCCATAAATATTTACAAATGTTATATCCTTTTGTTGGATTGACCCCTTTATCATTATATAATACCTTCTTTGTCTCTAGTTCTAGTATGTGAATTACAGTTTATTTTGTCTGATATAAGTACAGCTACCTCTGCTTTCTTTTGGCTTTCTATTTGCATGAAATATGTTTCTATCCCTTTACTTTCAGTCTATATGTTTCCTTAAAGCTGAAGTGTCTTGTTGGCAGCATATAGATGGGTCTATAGAGACACATTATAATTAAAATGTGAAAAGTTAAAGACAAGGAGAGAATCTTAAAAGCAGCAAGAGAAAACTTCTTCATGTACAACTTTTTATGTACAAGGGAACACCCATAAGACTATCAGTAGATTTTTCAGCAGAAATTCTGCAGGCCAGAAAGTAGCATGATATATTCAAAGAGATGAAAGAAAAAAACTTCCAACCAAGAATACTCTCCCTGACAAAGCTGTCATTCAGAATTGAAGGAGCAATAAAGAGTTTTCCAGAGAAGCCAAAGCTCAAAGAACTTCATCACCACTAAAGCAGCCTTACAAGAAATGTTAAAAGGGGTTTCTTTAAGCTGAAGAGACAGGGCACTAATTAGGAACAGGAAAATATATGAAAGTATAAATCTTACTGGTAAAGGTAAATATGTGGTGAAATTTAGAATAATTTAATGTAAAGATTAAAGATTAATCCCTTATAAAGCTAGTATGAAGCTTAAAAGACAAAAGTACTTAAAATAACTTTAACTACAATAATTAGTTAAGGAATACACAAGATAAAAAGATGTAGAATGTGACATCAAAACATAAAACGTGGGGAGGGGGAGAGTAAAAATGAAGAGCTTTAGAATGCATTCAAACTTAAGTTATCAACTTATAGACTGTTAATAAATATAAGTTCTTATATGTAAGCCTCATGGTAACCACAAAGCAAAACCTATAGCAGATACACAAAAGACAAAGAGAAAGGAATCTAAGCACACCACTAAAGAAAACCGTCAAATCACAAAGGAAAAGAGCAAAAGAAGAAAGGAAGAGAAGAACGGTAAAACAGCCAGAAAACAATTAACAAAATGGCGATGAGTGCAAACCTATCAATAATTAAATGCAAATGGACTAAATTCTCTAACCAAAAGATATAGCATGGATGAGGGTATATTTTTAAGTAAAAACAAAACAAAACAGGTTTTAGAGCAGAACAGGTAGGATGAGTAACTTATTTTAGTTCCTCTTCAGAGAGAAAATACTCACATGTGCACATATACATGTAAATGTACACACACACATCTGTGTATACATGCATAGAAAAGTCCAGAAGGACATGCAGTGCTTACTTTTGGTGGGACAGAGGAGTGTTATGGGTTGAGTGGTGTCTCCCCTAAATTCACATGGAGTCCAAACCTCTAGTATCTCAGAATGGGACCTTATTTGGAGATAGGGTCTTCACATAGGTAATCAAGTTAAAATTAGCTCATTAGGAGGGGCCTTAATCCAATATGACTGATATCCTTATAAAAAGGGGAAATTCGGACAGAGAGACACATAGAGAAGGAAGACGATGTGAACAGACATAGGGAGAAGACGGCCATTTACAAGCCAAGGAGGCAGGCTTGGAACAGATCCCTCCCTCACAGACCAACTCACACCTTGATTTTGGACTTCCAGCCTCCACAGCTGAGACATTAAACTTTCATTGTTTAAGCCACTTAGTCTGTGGTACTTTGTTACAGCAGCCCTAGTAAACTAATACAAGGAGATTCATTTTTATATTCAGTAGTGTATGACATTTTTACAATGACTATGTGTGTTACTTCTACAATTAGAGGCCTCCCCCCTGCCCAATTTGTGAAAAAAAAAAATGGAATGAGAGAAGAGACATAATGAGAAGAAAAGGCCACCAGGCATGACCATCAATCACATAATTGGTTTTTTTCCTCCTTTATAAATATACAGAGCCTACCTCCTCCTGCTCGCCCCACCCTGGCCGCCCTCCACACTGCCCTTTGGGTGGTCAGCTTGCCTTGAGGGAACCCCTAGCACTGATGGCTGGTCTAGCTCAGGAGACAGGTGGGCCCCAATTTGCTAGGTCGCGATTGGTATTTGGTTGTGCAAAATGTCACCACGGCCATCTCCCTTCATCCCACCCATCTGCTTCAGGCCCAAACAAACAAGCAAAGTGTGATATTTCCAACCATCTCACCCCACAAATCAGAAAGCCCAACAGACCTGCAATAAGAATGTCTGCAAGCAGCTGGCACATTGTTACAAGCTCTGGTCCCTTGTTCACATGGACGGCCCTGTGGTTGCCTGCTGGAAAGCCATGTTAAAATAACAAACCACCCTGGGAGTCCCTGTAAGACAGAATTCTTCCAATAACACTTTTTCCCCTGGGAAGATGTTCTGCTGTCCTGGGGGGTGTCCACCATTGTGGAGGTGGTGCCCAGCAGTGGGACAGCAGCAGAAACCCAGGAAATGAGGGCAATGGCTTGTAGGGGTGAAACTAAAGGCCACAAAAGAGGGGCTGGAAGGTTCAGGAAGGGAGAACTCTGCAAGAGAGTGTGCTCTAACTCTGGTCAAGTACACTGAGCCAGGAGAACTGCTCTGACAGAAGCCACTGACTTTCTCCAAGCTGCATGCATCGGCTCCCGAGGAATCCAGTCAGCCTACAGCACTTCTGCAGCTATCACTTGGGCCATGAACATATCTGGGAGGGCCAGCAGGGAATCAAAACCTACTTTAAAATTGCAGAGTTTAAGAAAAAGAAATCCCAACTTATATGTTGTAAAGTCTAAATATTCGCAAAATATGCACAATTGCTTCAGCCACCTGTGCTTCAAAAGAGATTGTCCTCTATTCTTGATGTTTCCTCAGGGTCCCAGGATAAAGGAGGAAGTGAGGAAAGAACAAGCATTTGGAAGTACCGCCTGGGTACTGCACCATAACTTCAGCATATGACTGAACCTTCCCGGAGTGCTGGGGGCAGGGACCACTCCACTTGTTATACCCGAGGAAACCTGGGCTCAGAAAGGCGAAGTCTCTTTCCCAAGGGCTAATGGCTAGTAATGGCAGACTGTCCAGCAACCCTGAGACTTAGTTCAGTTTCTCTATGCATGCTTCCTCACCTGTAAGGTGGAAATGAACCCTCTCCTTCACGGGGGGTTAAAGATGACACGTAGTGTGTCCAGCTCCCGGCTGAGCACCCTGGGCACGAAAGATGACAAGCTAATCCTGAAGCAGCCTGATGGCCCTGAAGGAACAGGGAGGTCTGGCAAGGCTCTTGACTGGTGCCCACTTCTCAAGTCCATGAACAGGGAAGGAGGTGAGCAGAGGTATCAGAGTGAGGTCGGGAAAAGGACCTGGGCTCTGTGGTCAGTCACCTGGGCTCAGGCCGGTTCAGCCCTTCCTTCATGTGACTGCAGGTGACCTTAGTTACTTACCCTTTCTAAGCTTCAATTCCTCAACTATAAATGGGTAATGGGAGGGGTAATGGGTAATGCATTGCAGGGGTGCGTGGGGGTCAAGGAAGATCTTAGGACTCCTTCCACCCGGCAGCTCTTAGAGGTTCCTTCCAAGTTCTCCTCTTGCTTTTTTAAAATCCAAACAATTTATTCAGGATTAATTGTTAAAACAAGAAGTAAATGAATACATGTTATCTTGGCAGATATTATTTTTTTAATTCACCAATTCCACTTCAGAGCAATCCCATTATTCCTTTAGCATCAAACTTTTTTTTTTTTTGAGGAAGATTAGCCCTGAGCTAACATATGCCACCAATCCTCCTCTGTTTGCTGAGGAAGGCTGGCCCTGAGCTAACATCCGTGCCCACCTTCCTCCACTTTATATGTGGGATGCTGGCCACAGTATGGCTTGCCAAGCGGTGCCATGTCCACACCCGGGATCTGAACCGGCGAACCCCCAGACCACCAAAGTGGAACGTGCACACTTAACCACTGTGCCACCAGGCCGACCCCAGCATCAGACTTCTTGAAAACATATTTTACATTTGATGTTTTAACTTCCTCCATGTTGACTCTCCCCCCTTATAACCTGGTTTATGCCCTCCTACTCTACTGAAGCAACTTTCATTAAGTTCTCTAATAATCTCTTCCTTACCAATCTTCACGGCTTGTTTCTCTCCTCTCGATATCCAACTTTCAGCATCTCCTGTTGTTTTCCACCTTTGCCAGTGCCTTGGAAAAGTCACCCCTTTTGGGATGAGTTAAAACTAAGATGGAGGGGCCCCTCTACACATCTCTTTTTAAGGCCCCCACTTGGTTCTCTAGTGATGGAGCTGAAACTTTCCTCTGTGACCTTTAAAAGACCCCACACTTCATCTCCTCCAGGGGACCGTCACTGTAACTTTTGAGTGTCCAAGGGGCCCATTTGGAAGGGAAAGTGGGCCAAGTGTCAGTGAAATAGAACCACTACGAGAGACCAAGGGTCTTGCAGTTTTAACGATTGTTTTCTGTGAGAAACTGTCTTCCTAGCTACACACACACACACACACACGCACCCCCACCCACCTGAGGTTCAGCAGGAATCGGCAGAAAACAACTCGGAGGAGGTACAGCTGTTCCCTCTGAGGAGCACGAGTGGGGGAAGCTGGGCCTAGGAAGAGGGGGTGTTCCCTGGGCGGTGACATACAGCATTCCTTTCGCTTGAGGCATCCGAGCCCGAGGAGCTGCAGTCTCCCCTTGGGAATATGACATAACCATAGGCGGGAAGGGCCTCACAAAAACAGACCGGTGTCCACACGTCTTTCTCCGAAGGAGAACCCTTGCCAGCCAGCCCGTGGGCCAGAACCCCCACGTCTGCAGAGGCTCAAATGCCATCCCGTCTCCAGCCAGACAAAGAGCCCAAAGCCAGCAATCTGATAGGATGTGTTTATATTTACATGGTACATTTTAAAGCAATGGCTACGTTGGTCATACATATTAGAAACCATAAAAAAAAGTTAAGAACTAAAATGTACATCATACACTTGTATATATATTTTTTACACAGAGGTAAAAAGGCTTATTATAAAAAAATCAATACAACAGGGTTTTTAGTATACAGGTAAAGAATGAATTATGCTTCAGGCACTTTAATTTGTTAATGTGAGCAAATAGCTTAGGGGGTCAGGGGGAAGCTTCCCAACAGAAAATCTTTTGGTTAATGTTTTGTTACCACAGATACAAAAATAAAATCTGAATAATTTCTCTCAAATGATTGACGTCAGTATGGCAGAGCTGACTGGGAAAATGCTACACACTGCTCAGCTGCAGCGTGGTAATTAGAGAGAGATGTATTTACATCAATGTCCCCATGGCTGTCCTTGTGCCCTTAACTGCTGCCTTCACCAACCAAAAGTGTACGCGGAAGAAGATTCACCAGCATAACTCTTCAAAGGGGTGGAAAAGGAGTAGAGATAAAGGAAGACAGAAATAGATAATGACTAATTAGGGACAACAAACACAAAGCGGCGGGATGTGTGTATTATCCTGAAATAAATAGGGGCACGTGAACTGAGGTCTAACAAAACATACATTAGTGTTGTGCTTTGTAGAGAGGAGACCTTGAGAAAGACCCTGAGGGAGCACCTCAGAGTGGGGGAGATGGTCTCTCGACAACGTCTGGAGGCTGGCTGCAGGTTTTCGAGATGTTCTCCTGGGGGGGGGGGCGGCTCTCGCATCACCAGATTGACAGCTCTCTGCTCCTTTCCCAAACTGGAAGGCCCGAACCAGTCACTCCAACAAATGAAAACATACACCCACTAACTCATAAGCACACTGGGTATTTACACCGACGACCTGACTAAAGAAATGCGATGGGCTGTCAGATGAGCTGAAAACATTGCCATGAAGGTAAGCGTGGCTAGCATTTTCCCCGTACTATTGGCAGACTGGAAGAAGAAAGTCCCTTTCCTTGAAGACGGATGTCCTGTGTGCAACAGAGAAGGGATGAGGGAAGCAGGGAGAGAGGGACCAGGCAACACCCTCAGCTGGCAATGGCCACAGGAAGATTATGGCAGGAAGAACAGCCAGCGCCAACAAGCCTGTCCCCCGTGGTCTCCAGGCCGTTCTGATTGTACTATGCTAGGTACAGGTAATCACTCTTCACTTTTCTTCTTTCTGCAGCAAGAAGACTTGGCTATTCTTTGCAATATATTAGAAAAATACTCTTTCCCAGCTAATTAGAAGCCTCCTATGTGGCAAGGCGACAGGTAGACCCAGCCTGCTGACTTGACCGTCTGTGCACCCAAAGTGGCAAGTCTGAGTTTGGGGTTGCAGGAGAAAGACACTTAGGCATCAGAAGGGTTTTTACATATGGCCATGTTTTTTCCCAAGTAGAAATGAAGAATTTGGTGATGTGAAATTGAGTCCAAAATGAAAAAAACCCCACAAACCCATGAACAAAAAAGGGCAACCCACCACTCTTCCAATTTATGACATTTAAAATTTCCCCCGGTTAATAGAAAATAGCCACTGGGGGGAAAAAAGCTCTTAGAGTTTTATTATCACAACCTTAGTGTTTTTTCACTTGGAACTTTTTTTGGAGAACACTGGTTTGTGTTTGAATGGACTACTTGGTTTGCAGAACAATGAGCAAAATTTCTTACTTCATTAGCATTTTCTTCTAATATTGCTAAAGTTTTAGAAGTGGTGGTGACATAATTTTAAAAAGTTCTACTTTAGGGGTACCTGGGGAGGCTCAGAAAGACCTGAAACCCCCTTTCTAGCCCTGGTCCGAGAGGACGCAATGCAGTTTACGGAATTTTCCTGATTCGCACAAGTTAATCTGAAGTTAAGGCTCAATTCTCAGTCGCTTTACGGGTAGAATGTTCGCATCAGTGAATAACTGACAAGATTTGGATGAGTGGGGGGCAGAACACGATGATGGGCTCAAGATAGACACTGCAGCTTACGGGGGAAATGCGGCTTTGGACAAGTTAAAGTGATCTTGTTTTGTGGTAGAAGTTAACTAGCTCACCTCCTATACACAACAACCGACTGCAGGTTAAAATACTTCTGGCAGGGTTTCATCATTCTAACATCACATTTCCGCAGGACCCCGATGATGCTCATTAGCAACAGTCAAGCTGACCCAAGAGAAAGGGGGTCTTCCACGCTCCTGGAAAAAACCACCTACAACACCCACCAAAGATCAGCAGTTCCTACTACAGGTGACTTTGAACTGGAAGAGGTGGGGAGGAAGGACAGGAAATCAACACGGATAAGACAGCTTGATTACAGATCGCTAATACACGAGAGTCTCTGCGGAGGTTCCTTTCCTTAGAACACTGTGTGCGTGTATGGGTGTGTGGCTGACGCAGAGTGGGGGGCTGGGGGGAGGGCAGAGTCCACCGGGGAGGTTCCCCAGGCCGGAAGGGCGCCCGCCAGGTACCAGGGAGCAGGGGAGAAGATGAGAGGGTGGAGAAGACAAGTTCCCTTGTGACCGTGGACAGAGGAGCGGGAGGGAGGGGCACCGAGTCACACGGCCGCTTTGTGCTTCCCGCCGCAGCACCTGCACATCACTCCGCAGTGGTAGCAGGCCCGAAGGGGCAGGTAACAGCACATACAGGGGGCCAAGAAAGACAAGGCAATAAGAGCCATCCACCGGAGGCAAAACTTCTCGTCGCTAGTGTCGCACGAGCATGGGTCTGTATAGTCTCCCTCGGGGTCCGACATACAGTGATAGAGCATGCTGTCTGCACACCACATACAGCTCACCCGGCGGATGCAAGTTCTCACGGAGTCGGGCGCGTCCTGACAGTGGCCCCTCCGGTTATCCTCGTGGTTGAACATGTCCCTGCAGTACTCGCACCGGGAGCGCTCGCCGTCCTCCTTCCGCCGCCGGGACTTGCCCCGGGCCGGCTGCGTCTTGATCACGCCACCCCCGCGCCCTTTGGGGTCCTCGCCGAGGCCAAAGTCTGAGGGGTCCACGTAGGGGTAGTTGTAGTCGTGCTTGGGGACCTCGCCTTTGGCGAAGCGCACGTAGGAGTCCACGTCCTCCGAGGTGTCCAGGTACTTGCCCCTCACGGGCGCGTGCCGGTAATCCTCGTATCCCGTCATCCAGATCTTCTCCCGGGGGTTAATGCGCACGATCTCCTCCTCGTCGTCTGGGAAGCTCACCTGGCGGTAGGGCCTTGGCATCGGCTGCCCCAGGAAAAAGAGACAATATTTTATAGCAGCGTCCCCTTCTCCATCCTCTATTATGCACCTTTCACCTTGACAAAGACATTTCTTGAAGGAAGGGACCCATCCTGTAATTACTGAACATCTTGTGGGTCAAAGATAGTGTGTCAAATTGTGTCTCAATTCATTCCTGGGTCAGGAAATTAATTTAATGGGTCGAGACCGGCGTTATTCCCCTTTTTGTTGAAATATTACCATATATGCAGGAAAGTGTGAACATTGTAAGACTACAGCTGGAATTTTCAGAAACTGAACGCACCCAGATCAGGCAGCAGACCGGGAGAAGCCTCCCCGGGACATGCCCCACCTCCCTCCAGCACCTCCCACCTCTGGGGGGATGGTGACCATTGTGCTGATCTCCTACAGCTTAGGTTAGTTCTGCCTGTTTTTGCACAGTATGTTCTCTTTTGTAAGACCAGCTTTTTCCCCCTCAGCGAAATATAAGAACTGCATGTTATAAGGGTAAGTACTTTTCATTATCTATGTGTATACACTACATCCATACTGGGTCACAACATGAAATGCATTTCTCACTGAGGGTCATGTCCAGAAAAGCAAAAGGGGATACTAAGGATAACTACCTTGTAACATGGTCTGGAAGATAAGAAGCCGAGATATAAAAAGGGCAAGAGAACAGGCTCCAGAGGCTGACTGCCTGGGCTCGAAGGCCCCCAGGCTCTCACAGATGGTGAGGGGCAGAGCTGGCACCCAAGCCCTGGCAGCTGGGACCCAGAGCTACACCCTAGGGCCTTCACCCCCAAACGGCATCCTCCCTTAGGGTGACAGAGCTGTCTCTGCAGGGAGTCGTGCTACAGTTTGCAACAATGCCTTGTCCAGAGTGGCAGGCGCTGAGTAAAGTCACGGAGTAGACGCAGGTAAGCCTGCCTTGCACGGGGCATCTCGGCTGCAGCAGAGAATGAGATTTTCCACCTTCAAAGTCCTTGGGGCGTGAAGGCTTTTTCAGGGGTGAGAAACATGGCTCTGAGCAGACCCGCTGGAGTCAAATTCGAACTATGGAATTTACCGGCAAGTAGCTAAGCCTCGCCACTGCTGCTGGTCTAGTGGTTAAGATTCAGCACTGCAGGGGCCCGGGCCCGTCTCCCGGTCAGGGAACCACACTACTCGTCTGTTGGTTGTCATGCTGTGGCGGCTGTGTGTTGCTGCTATGCTGAACACTATGCCACCAGTATTTCAAATACCCGCAGGGTCACCCATAGTGGACAGGTTTCAGTGGAGCTTCCAGGAAGAAGGACCTGGTCACCCACTTCCGAAAAAGTGGGCTATAAAACCCCTATGAATAGCAGCAGAGCATTGTCTGATGTAGCATCAGAAGGTGAGAGGATGGCGCAAAAAGACCGGTTAGGGCTCTGCTCTTCTGTACACAGGGTCACCAGGAGCTGAAATCAACTCCAGGGCACTAACAACAAAAAGCTAAGCCTCAGACTCAGTTTCCCCGACTATCAGACTGCTTAGGGCTATTGTGAGAATGAAGAGAAAGAATCTATGCTGTAGTGTCAGCACACAGCCTGTCACACTGGATGTGCCTGATGCCTGTTGCCATTACTGTCATTATAATATTGTTATAGAATTTAAATCACAGGGTAATTAGATTTACCCATCACGTCCCACCAGACTGTGAGGTCCTGAGGGCAGGGGTCACATCTCACATGCTTTGCCCTAATTCCTGTCAGATTATTGACATCAGAGTTCCTTGGACTTTGGAAAATCACAATCCTGTAGGATTTCAAAACAAATCTTGGGAGCTGACATAGACTTGCTAATTATTTATTTTGCAAAGTAAGGAGAGTCAAAAACTCAATTCCCATCTATCTACTGCTACCATAATGTGATTTAAAAAAGAACATTTTAATGCCAAAAAATTAAGAGGCACACGATAAGATACTTAGGGAAAAAAAAAAAAGTCATATAAATCTAGCTTTATGTCAGAAAAAAAAAACACCTTACTGCCCTGTGCTCCTTTTTCTCTTTTCAAAGCAGACTGGTGGCCACATCGCTCCACACGGGCACCAGTCCATGCCCCAGTTTGGGAACCTGCTCCGCAAAACAGCCACTTGGTAAATATTTGTTGAATTACTGAATTCCAGACTCCAGCTACATCCCCAAGCAAGCCTGGGCCTGCAGCCCACGGTGCCAGGGTGCTCGAGCCAAGTGTGTAGCATTCTTTAGTCCTGATTGTGGTTCTGTGCTTTCACTCAAAGCCAGGAGGCCGTGTGGACAGAGGACGCCGGAGGCAGGAGAGCACCCTGGGTGAACAGACCTGCACTTGAATCCTGGTCTACCAGGGCTTCTAGCTCTCTAAGCCTCCACCTCCTCCTCTATAAACTGGGGGTGTCAATGACCTGCCTGGTCGGGTGATTTGTGAGGATTAAACGAGAAAAAGCACAGGAAGGGTTTAGCAAAGTGTCTGGCACACAGAAAACTGAGTCAGGGGGAGCAGCCACTGCCACCCTCAATATGGGTGGGGATGCAAAGTAGGACAGCAGAAGAGGCCTGGCCTCAGGGCATTTGGCTACGCGGGAAGGCAAGGAGACCTTCTGGCCTCGGGAGCCATCCACCCCACTGACCTCAGAGGAAGGAGCGAGACTGCTGCTCACCTGTTCGAGGTGATAGTGGTCCGCGGGGTACGGGTCGTGGAGGTGGCCCAGGGTGTAAATCCGCCGGTGCTCACAGGATGTGGGAGAGGAGATTGTCCGGGTAGGTTGTTCCCTCTTCTGAGAGGAATTAGAAGAACTATCTGTAGCTGTCTGTTTGGAGGGAGGTAACCAAGAGTTAATTAAAACAACAGAAACCAAACCCACACACCAAACCCTAACACACCGTCCAGCCCCATGTGTGGCATCCTGCAGCACTTCCCGAAATCTGGAGTTTATCCTGGCCCTGGGAGGCAGGAGGACCCCTGAAGGGCCAGATTGTGTAAACACGAGGTGGCTGGCTCAACAGGCAGAGAAACCCAACCACCAGACCCTGGAAAGTTGGCTTTTTTTCAAATGTGGGATCGGCGACCGGGTTTTGGGGAAGGGCCCCCTACCCCAGGCCTCCCGCTGGCATGTTCCAGTTTGATCAGGAACGGTTACCCCACTTGTGGCCTGGACTGCAAGGTACGCAGGCAAGCAGGGGAGATGCAAACAAGAAAAAATCAAACCCAGATGTTTCTATGTGGGGCTAATTCCAGCCTGGGAAAGCCTCAGAGATAAGACACCGCAGGGGTGTTATGGTGCTGGCTTTCTAGGAAGAGATTTTGTAATCTTTGGGCTGGAGGCAAGCCTTGGGGGTCACCTTAAACTGCACAGAGGGACAAAGGCCACCATTTGTGGCGGGTGAGTGCAGAGCTGTTTTCCCAGCAGATGTGACTAGTTCAGGCTGGAGCCTCTAGGATGGCATCTCTGGAAGGATCAGATATCGGGATGGACTGTGGCCAGGGGCAGAGCACAGGGAGCCCCGACCACCTCCCAATATACCCACCACCTAGGTGCTTCATGCTGCCACCTGAGACCTGAGGTGGGCCAGGTGATCCCAGCTGATGGTCTCTCCACAACCCCCCAGGGCCCAGGAGCCATATGCTTATAAAAGGCTTTGTTAATTGCAGCTGGCAACCACCTTTAGAACCAGGGCCCCTCAGGATCCCCACTCCACCTTCTACTTTCTTAGTGATGATCTCATTTTTTCCCTTTTTCCTAAATAAATGAAAAAGTTTTCCTTGATATCTAGGTGTCCTATTTCTTTCTTTCTTCTTCTTCTTCTTCTTTTTTTTTGCTGAGGAAGATTTGCCCTGAGCCAACATCTCTGCCAATCCTCCCCTATTTTCTATGTGGGTTGCTACAATAGCATGGCTGATGAGTGGCCTAGGTCCACACCTGGGATTTGAATCCCCAAACCCAGGCCACCTCAGTGGAGCCCACAGAACTTAACCATGCATGATGCCATGGGGCTGGCCCCTAGGTGTCCTATTTCTGACAAATATCTAGGAACTCCTACTTGGCTGTTGTTTCTCACTCTTAAATTCCCCTTATCTCATTTGCTTATTTATCTCTTTTTATTTTATGTGTTTTTTGTTAGTGTCATAAGTCCTTTTAATGGCAAGGCAAGGTTAAAATAACTAGACTTATAGGGGCCAGCTTGGTGGCACAATGGTTAAGTTCGCATGTTCTGCTTCAGAGGCCCTGGGTTCGCTGGTTCAGATCCTGGGTGCAGACATGGCACCACTTGTCAAGCCATGCTGTGGTAGGTGTCCCACATATAAAGTAGAGGAAGATGGGCACAGATGTTAGCTCAGGGCTAGTCTTCCTCAAAAACAAAACAAAACAAAACAAAACAAATAGACTTACAAAAGTTGTTTTTACCCCCCTCCCCATTTAGAAAGTAATAAATGCTCAGAAAAATGGGACTACAAGTATTCAGGAAAAAGAAAAGATACCCATATTTCGATCATGCAGCAACGCCCACTGTCAACTCTTAAAACTTGGAGGACCATCCTTTTGGGGACCCAGTCCTCCTGGATTTCTCTCTCATTCTGTTTGGTCCAAGTGCTGTGGGTCTGACACCTGTTTCCAATCCCTCAGTCCACAGGAACTAATTCATATATGGACACGCTGTCCTCTCTAAGGCAATACAAAGAGATTTTTGACAGAGAGGTAAGAAAAGATGCTGACTTTATTTCTGAAGTTAAGATCTAAGGGTCCCATAAACCTGGAATCCTAGTGAGGGCACAGGGAGGGAACCTTCTGAGTATGAAGTGAAGCAAAACAAAGAAGAAGGCCCACCTAGACACCACTTGAGCTTCTGGATCCAGACAAGCCTGAACCCTGCTCCACCCTAGGCTGTCCCAATGATATGCTCCAATTCCCTTCAGTAACTCAAGCCAGAGGGTGTCGGGTCGGTCACTTGGGTGCACTTTTCCTCACTCCTGATTCCACCTCTGGCAGCAGTTCCACCTGCACCCTCTCTACAGCAGGTGGAATGGAGCTGGGCCTGGAGGCTGCTGCTTCCCTCCTCTGCCTCTTGGAGGCCACCCAACTGGCAAGTCGCACATGCTGGCAACCATTCTTGGGACTGTGAGGTCCAATTGGAGGTCAAGGGTCCTCCCATTGTGGGGAGGCTGTGGAGATCCAGCGCCCCTGTGCTGGCAGGGCAGGTCTGTCCAAGCCTGGGATCCGGTCCTGGGACATCCACTCCTGCATCTTCAGTAACAAAGGGTCTCCTATCTTTTTTTTTCTTTCCCCCTCAATTGGTTCAGAACTCAGATAGGGAAGAGTTGCCAGTTACCCCTCAAATCCCAGTAAGTGAAAGAGACCAGACGGGTACACAAGAATTTTTACTTTCTTCCAAACTCTGGCCTGTCTTCCAACTGTCATCCACTCTTTATGTCTTCGGAGGTACTGCCTCCCTCTTTAACACTCGGGTGGTTGTCGATCAGTGAGAACAACAAAGCAAACAACTCTTAATTGTCCAGACTGTGTGAGTGCTTACGAGGTGCCAGGCCCCGACTCCATGTGAACGCAGCTGCCGGTACACTATCGTCCCCACATCACACACAGGAGAACAGAGAGCCTGAGAGATGCACGATCCTGCCAACCGTGGCAGGCAGCCGCTGGCAGAGCTGGGCTGAAATGCAGCCCTGACCACCAGGCCCAGCGGATTTCAGTGCCCCACACTGCTGCTTCTCAATTCAGGCGAGCCCGTCCCCATAGCAGGCTCTGACAGGTGTTTTGTAGAGATGAACACAAGCACCACTTCTCCGAGTAAGAAGGTGCACCCAGCCTTACACAAACCCAGAAGATAAGGGGGCGGTGTCTCGCAATACAAAGGGTTCCAATTAGGGATCTCAATAACCACTTTCTGAATGAGTCAATAGGGGCCCTTTGGTGTGATCAAATCTCAAGGGTTAAATTCTTATCCAACTCCCACATGACAGTCACCTCGTAGGTTAGGAGCTGCCCTTGTATTGAGCACTGTTATACGCACTCAGCATTTAGTTCTCAGAAACTCGGTTAACTCCTCAGGGTCACCTCTGTGTTAGTCACCTGTCCACCCGAATCCACCCTACTTTCTGTGACCCATGTCCAGGTTAACAACACATAGCAAGTCATTCTGAGAAACGATCCACACCCAGTTTCTCCTAGTATTCACGAGCCATCAGAAACACTGTCCTCTGATGCAACCATCCTACCTCCCCAGACCCAAACAGCCTCTTCCCACCACAGAGTCCAGGGCATCGCTTCCCGGACATTGTGAGAGAATGCGAGACTGAGAAAGGCCTTTTAGTATCTCCTTATCTGACAGGGAATTGGTCCAGAGGAGCAGGAAGGCCGGAAAACTCTGGGGCGTGTCCACAGTTCACTGCCTGCTGAGGGGACCTCCCAGCCCAGCACCTCCCATGCCTGTGTCAGTCTGGACTCCAGAAAGGAGAGCAGGCAAGAGAAGCTCCATTGGAAGCCGGGGCTTATTTCCGATCTATACTATCAGACAAATCTTGCAAAGTGGCGAGTGTGACCTACAAACAAAAGGAATGTCCTGTCTGGGCATCTCCAAGGAAGGCCAGGGAAGAAACATCCTGTCTCCCACATGCACCTCGGAATGGCCTCTCCATGACTCTGCTTGTGGTTTCCACACAGAGCCTCAGAAAAGCAGCCCGCGAAGCTATGCACCTACACACAGTCACATGCCAGATTCTTGAGCATCTCTCTGCTATTTGTGTGCATAAGCTAATGACACCTACCAATCTGACAGCTTCACCTGCAACTCAGACTCTGGCCGCGTTTTAAACTTGCCTTGCTCTCCAGTGGGAGTCTCTGTACTGCTGCAGGTTTGAGCTCAAGAACAAAAGCAGCAGTCCTCCGCGGCTCGTCTCTGCTCGAGGACCTCAGGCTCCTAACAGCAGAGGCTTCAGCGGCAGCTTCCCCACATCCGGAGAGAGCGCAGTCAGAGCGAGCCCTCAGTGCCGCGCATTGTGGACAGCGAGGCCGGCACTGCCGACTCCTGGGAGGTCTCGCGCACCGTGATGCAGCAAACACAATTGCGGCCGCCTGCAATGTACTCTCCAAGACATCTTGCCTCTGTTTGACTGGGACTCAGTGTCAATGCCCATTATTACAAAGATGTCCAATTAAGAAGTCTGCAACCTAATTAATATGCAGCGCTGAACAACAGAAGCGCAATGGAGTATTACAATGCTAACCAACAAGGCCACAGCTCAGGTGGACTGATTGGATTCATTCTCTGCTAGTTATAATTGTGTGATTTTGGTCAAGTTAACCTCTAACTCCAGTTTTTACATTTGCAAAATCGTCCTCAGGGTTATTGCAAAAATGAAAGGAGATCGGGGCTGGCCCCGTGGCCGAGTGGTTAAGTTCGCGCGCTCCGCTGCAGGCGGCCCAGTGTTTCCTCAGTTCGAATCCTGGGCGCGGACATGGCACTGCTCATCAGACCACGCTGAGGCAGCGTCCCACATGCGACAACTAGAAGAACCCACAACGAAGAATACACAATTATGTACCGGGGGACTTTGGGGAGAAAAAGGAAAAAATAAAATCTTTAAAAAAAAAGAAAGGAGATTAAGCATTTCCATGTTCTAAACTGTTACTGCCGATTATAGACAAGTTACTGATTTTGTTAGGTTGGTCCTGTATCTGGCTGCCTTAACTCCCTTATGAAAGTTCAAATACCTTATGCAATGATTCTCTGGATTTTTCTAAGTAAATCGCAACATCCACAAAAGAGTTTGGTCCCCCTTCCAGTATTTACACTT